AATTCTACTCTTCAAATTGAACTTTGTGATGAGTGACATTTGTTGGAATGGTCGTTGGGCATGTCTGTTAAAATAAATTGATTCGTTTCCATGGTAGGTACAATTGCATATTATAAAGCATGGTGAAAGAAGATGGCCACTAGGTAGTCGTTACATTTCGTGTCTTTATTGATATTCTTAAATGGAGTCCTTTTTATACATTTAACTGGTATCAGGTCACAAGATAAATTTAATTGGAAACTTACATATTATCTGATTACATAAAATAAATACTGTAGAATTACTCTAATTCTTTGTTCATAAAGTTTCGACCATAAGATTACATGGTCCACTTCAGGTGTAAAATAACCATCTCAACAAGTGTATAGAAAAAAAATAATATTCAAACATAAGACATTACATAATTACAGAAGTATCAGAGGATCGAAATTCATTTACAACTTACAAAAATGTAAAATAACCGATTGAAAAGTACAAAAAAAAAATGAAGAAGGTTAAACCACATTATGATAATGTACACATTTTTCTGTAGTACAATCCACTTAAACAAAATTACGTAAACACTTATCCCATTCAGCCCGCCAAAAATATTATCAAAAATTTGATTCTCACCGCGGAATACTATCTCAGATAACCAGTTAATTCCTGTTTTGGTGTAAGTAAAGTAACATTACACGGAAGCTACGAGTGTCCCTTTCCGAGGAGCATCAACGCGAGCAACCCCCAGAAAAACCATCGTCGTCTCAACGGTCCTTCCCCGACTCCCAACAAGTCGTTACAACATACCTACACCGACTGCTCCCCGACAGCATTTTGCAATTTGTATCTATCGTTCTTCAGCCGGCGCAGCCCCTCGAAGAATCTGCGAAAGAAAGGAGGAGAAACGAAAGCAAAAGGCTGAGCACGGCCGGGAATTAAAGTCGACCAGTGAAAGAGAGAGAGAGAGAGAGACGGAGACGTGGAAACACAGAAGCGCGAGAAACATGAATTATTCCTGGCAACGGCTGTCCAGAAACCGCGGGGATCGTGTTTCCCACGATTCATAACGTGTTATCAATAATTAATCGCGTTAGCGGAACACAAAAGCGCTGGCAAAGACAAGGCCAGAAGCAAACGGGTGAACAGTGAACGTATTTCTCGTTACAAAGACACGACTCGTTCTAGCAAAAGGAATCGACGTATCGCGTTTTAACTCGTAAGCTGCCAGGGTGCGGAGCCACGGCGTCTTATTCTTGGAAAAGCGAGCTGTGGACGGCTTCCATAAATCTCCACCGATGACAGATCAGTATGCGGCCCTTGTTATCCGGATCGCTGTAATGTCCTCCATTTTGCTGCTACGTGATCGAATCACCAGTCGCGACGATGTCATCGAGGTTTTGACATGACTGCCTTCAGATCTCTGGAAAATTTTATTTTGCTTTAGGATTATGGTACTGAATTAGGTAATCGACTCTTCGGTACTTGCATCTAGATGCAGGGAATATTATTTTGTCTTTGCAGTGCACATAAGACTGTTTTGTTGAGAGTATGACGAAAGAAGAATTTAAAACAAAAAAATTTGAGTAAATGTCTCTGTTGCTCTTCTTGAATTTTTCAATTAATTGTTTTCCACTCCTGTAAATTGTAACTTTACGTCAGTTTGTCCAATATTTAAAAACTTGTTTAATTTCCAAAATTTTTTAGAATACTACCAAGTGTCTGTGGTGCTCTTCTTGAGTTTTTTAATTAAACGTTTTCCATTACTGTAAATAATTTTTTAACGTATTACCTTTGAATACTGAACACCTGAAGTGGATCATAGAATGCAAATTGACGAGTGACGATAAATGGGAACAAATGGATACCTCCTGGCGCCAAGGAAATAAAAATGAATTGAAAGTAACGTACACTAGAACGGATAAAAACTCATATATAACGTGGACATTTTATAGCCTCCATGCCAGGGAAACCAATTTTGCTAGAAATTCCTCGCTAAATTCTCCGTAAAAGTCGACGTTAAATGCAATAAAATTTTGTATCCCCACACGATGGTTCCCGAATCGGTTTATAGCAACTATTTTAAACATTCATAAATGCTTCTGTGGTCGGTTATACTCGTAATATCAATATTTAATAGAAATATCTCATAAAGCAAGCTGCCGCAGTAGCAACACGCCGCGCGGTAAGCACGGATCAGCCTCTGCAAATCTTGATGAATGGCCGGATTACTTCAACTCTTCTATTTTTATAAACTCCTGAAAATTGTTGCCGAATGCACACGGGGCTCCAGTATTTACCGCGGGCTTTTCATCGACTCGTGCCTGAAGTTCCTTGTTTCATTAAATAACAAATTTATAGTATACCTCGTAGACTTACTTCACTTATAGATTGATCAATAATAGCACATTCGCGACCGGCAGATATTTTACGTTTCTAATACCGAGTACTGACGAAACGAATAAAATTTTGAAGCTTGACATCGCAAATTTGTATCGTTAGGGTGAAGATAAAAATTACAAAGCATGTTTTTAAATATCAGTGTTGTAAATATGTAGGGTATAAAATAAAAAGATTTTTATAATCTTTTGAAAACCAGGAATAAAGTGTTTAATAAGAAATTAAATATTGAATGTAAGAATGAATACAAGAGAATAATACTGTATGATACTATAATATGTAAAAAAAATGTGTGGAATGCATAAATGTATGTAAAAGAAGAATAAAGTTGTACCAGGTACAAAGACTGAAAATTAAGGATATTGAGAAGGCAAGAAGAAAAAATTGTATTTATTTATAACTAAATTTGAGTCGTAGACTCCAAAAAGTAGCAGATGAATAATATTGTACTTGAATTTATGAAAACCTTTTAGGAACTGTTTCCATCAGGAATTCCTCCCTGCTTACGAGTACTAAACACAAACATGTACATAAATCTCAAATAGCAAATAAAGATATATGCAAACAAAGTTGTTTGATAGATATTCTGGGATAAATTCCTCACTTTACTTGATATCCCTGGCGGTGCTCTAAGACGCATAAAAGTAATGCTTCCACGCATTCTTCGCAACAAGACAAACAATAAAATGTATGTTTATCTGGTCTTCGATCTGAAACTCGGCCACACGATACTCCCAATAAACGAAGGAACGGCTTTTCGCGTTCAGTGCGTATCGCGAAGGCAGAAATATTAATGCACCGGATTTGAAAATTGCACAACGCGTTTTCCACGCGGAAATTACCACCGTGCACCGTTTGGATAACAAATTTTAATGTACGCGCTCGTACGCTGTCCAAGGCTCGCACTAACCGACGAATTTTTTTCAAGCGCATTTATCTCACCGCGAACGATCCCGTGATATATTTATGTACATTGGCCGATGTGTATTTATATGCAGTCCCAAGGAAGTCCACGTTCCCAGAAAGCTGCTCCATAGAAGCCCGATGGTTCGGCTGGCGTGAGTGTGCAGTGCAACAACAACTTTTTGGCCAGTGTTGTGTCCTTAAAAGTCTTAAACTGAATGTACGAACTCCTTTAAATCAAATAACTTATATGCATGTGCAAGGATTAGGTTGAATTTAATTAGATATTACCACGATGATTTTAAATAATTTAAAATTGACAGCTGAGAAATACATATTACAATTAAAGAATCGAACATCAATAAATAGAAACGAATTTTCATGTTAGTTATACAGTTATATACATACATACGAAACAGTTACGAAATTTTATCTACAAGTATGTAATTAGATGGTTTTATGTAACCTATGCAGCCATCAAAAGTGAAATTAGGAAAAGAGATAAAAAAAGTCATTCTCTATCATGAATATCATAGAATGCAATATCAGATGGTGCGATTAATGATTAATTTCATTACCTATTCTTGTAATTTAAAGGTTGAAAAATAAAGTTAATGTACAGTCATAAGCCTGATTGCTAATTAGAATTTCAATTATTAATGCATACAACGTAATAAAATACCTATTACTGTTACTCGCATTTTTGACATTCTCGGCCATAGCTCTTGTAGCTATATGGCAACATAATTTTCGTTCATAAACCCGTAACCATATATTCTGCACGAGTGTACTTCGTGAGACAGCAACTTCCTAACTTCGCTTGCACGCCTTTCTGATGCACGTGCTCTACGAGTTTAGTGGCTCGCGTGACCACTTATAAAAAGGACTCGTAATTTCTATCCAGACATGAGCGAAATTCTCATCTAGATACAAAATTTCGAGCAACGATTCTAGGATAAACTTTTAATCTGATATTTGTATCATAAAAGTTGTACTTTGAATTATAGTATCAATTTACGTTTCACTTTGAACGAATAGAAGCTAATCGTTTGCAGAGTTATTAGTTTATTCGTCTTGTATGTATTGTTCAAGTAAAATTCTACTTATCTATATTATTGCACAGGTAATCTCAACGACTACTCCAAAAGGTAATCAGTTACACAGAAATTCTACTTTGTTTGTATTAAAAAATAATTTTTTTTTAACAATTCTCAACAATTTATACAAAATAGCACTAATTAAAATGTAGTCTCATTGCTAAAAAACTGAGGATCTATTCGAGGAATATTAATGAGAATATTAATGTATCAGCCTACTAGATTTTAGCCCATCAAGAGAAAAATAAAACAAAATTAACCAAGTAATTGTTATCACGTCGAATGATTTCGTCAATTGGAAGACACTGATCGTCAGTTCAATTTGAGAATCATCGCAAACAACTAACCTACTTTGATCTCAGCTGCACGATCTCTGAATCTCTGACAATCACTTGCATTCTAAATCTCGATCATTCTATGTATATTTGTGTTAGGCTGAGTCATATGCGCGTTTGGTTTTTGAAGCCCCACGCGTTTCCAAGAGCATTATCTCGAAACGTTGCTTATAACAGCTGGTTCCTATGAATAGATCAAATCACATATGTTTGAGCAGTACTTTGCACACGGTATCGGTCAGTTCTGAACCTACCATCAAGCAGCTCAGTTCGTCCGAGTTCGATTAAACTCAATATTTATTCCTGATGTATCATGACATTCCATTTCAAAAAAGAACAATTTTGTGAGAGAAGAATTTGAACAAAGTATCCAATTTTCATAATAAAATATAGAAACATTTGAATGAGTAAGCAAATACCAGGTAAATTAGTTTTGAAGTGAGTGAATAACGAATAATTTTATCAAGGTAAACCTGCTGGGATACAATTCAAGATAGGCACATTATTACGTTCAATCATTATTGAGAAGATACAGTACTATGGCCAAAACCTTTTTATTTTAATTTACTCATAATTCCACGAAACACAAAGAAATTAGTGAAAAATAGATATTATCTTCAACCAGATGACTTTGGAGTCGTACAATATACTATTTAGTTGATACACGACAAACTTCAACACTAATTAGAACAACCTTTCGAACAACGAAACTTGTCCATCTTTGGCGGCAAAATTATAATTTCGCTCAACGGTAGGGTACAGTCATAAACAAGGCCAACTGAACGAATCCATGTAAATTACATCTATCGTTAAGTCCTGCACCACATGGATGGCGGTTTCGCGGAGGGATCACTCGTAATGATCTCTCATTGGCGATATTTCATCGGCGTAAGTACGACCGGACGTTTATTGCCTGACCAGGCTGAAAGGATGCTCGACCAGTGGCCTGTTAATTTGGTTACGAAAATATTTAAGCGTCCCGCGTAATTGCTTCCCCGCGAATAGACCCGCGGTACTCTCTTGTGATTGCGCGCAGCGCATATGCAAGCTGAGTGCACGTTGTTTACGCAAACGTCTTTTGCCCGAGTTGTTTGACTTGGGCGTGATTGATAACGAACGTAAGCTGTTTTGGCAGCGCCCGTTAAGACGATTCGGGGAAGCCTGCGTTACGTGGAAACGTACTTTATTCGGGAAACCGTCGGTAGAGAGATATGATTGGAAAAAAGAGTTCCCGAAGTGGTTCGTTTATCGATGCCCGCGATACTGTTTGGAAATTCGGAAAATTTATTTTGAAACCTTAGCACCACTACTTGTAAGTGAATTTGCGTTTACGACTTTGCACTCGTGTCTAGATTTTTGTCGTTATTCCGAGTACAGAAAAAGTGATGTCATACTTCTGGCCAGTACGGCATTAATGATAACAATTGTTTAAGAGTAGCTGACAATGATAATAACTATTTATTACTTGGTAAAAATTCCTTCAATTTGAATTTTGTTATAATTGAATCGGACGATTTTACGTTGAGTTAGAATAGTTTCAAGTTTCCAGTGGAACAATAAACAAAACAATTGTTTAAGAATATTTAACAATGATAATAATTATCTATTAGATAGTAAAAATTCCTTCAATTTGAATTTTGTTATAATTAAATCGGACGATTCCACGCTGAGTTAGAATAGTTTCAAGTTTCTAGTGGAACAATAAACAAAACAATTGTTTAATAATATTTAAAAATGATAATAACTATCTATTAAGTAGTAGAAGTTCCGTGCTTTAATTTGGGCTTTAGTAGAATCGAATCGGACAATTCCACGCCGAGTTATGACAGTTCAAAGTTTCCTATAGAATACCATAGATGGATCGTAGATACTTATGAATTAATGAATGAACCATTGGCCACTTGAATTCCTGGAAGTGCGTACGCACTAGTAGTAAAGTAGTAAAATTAGTAAACACAGGGCTTGGCGTAGTATTTCCTGGAAAAAATCGGGTATTCCTTGGAAGAAGATGACAACAATCACCCCTTCCGGAGTTTCCCCCGAATATCTAGAGTTCCTTTCGAACAATTATGATGAAACTTGGTATACAATGGTTTTTGGGGTCGCTCATTTCAAATCTGTAATCATAATTAAAAAATTCAAAATGGCGGATCCAGTACCGCGGATGAAAATGCGGAAAACTGATTCGATTTTGATGAAATTTGGTATCCGGGGGTTTTTAGGGTCGCTGATTTCAAATCTGAACTCAAAATGTAGAAATTCAAAATGGCGGATCCCATACTGTGGGGCAAAATGCGGAAAGTGACTGGATTTGGATGAAACTTGGTACACAGGGGTTT